CAAATTTCCTATGGAAATGGAAAAAAAAAACAAATTAAGCCGTGTCCCGTTCGGGAAGTTTCCGAAAAAGGATCAGTAATTCAACCATTTGTCTACTAACGGTAACTCGTTATTAAAAGCATTCGACACTCTTATGTACACGTAGCGGCCGATTTCTCTTCCGTGATTGATGAGTTTAGTTACTTAAGCCGTCAGTGATTGGCTGATGGGTACAGATGCGAGCTTTTAACATTTTTGATATTATATCCTCTGTAATTCAACTATTTGTGTATTAGCGAATTTCTTGACCAAAAATTCAGAGAGGAATATCATCGATTGTTTACGTTACTGTGGACGAAGGAATTTTAGAGCAGAGAACATTGTTTGGTTGCATTTAAGAGGTTCGGATCAATTACAGACAACCTTAATGAAGAGCCAGACTTCCCTGAACTGGGTGTAAACACAAGAAGAAACGGTACAGTTCATTTAAATAATCTTGCATAGTCTTCAGCCGAACTCAAATTGGGAGAACAAATTTTTTGTCGTGCATCGTCTTGGTCTACTCTAAATCATCAACTGCATGAACATTTTATATCAATGGAATAGACAGAAGTTAAGCTGGACATTGAGTCAAGTTCAATGTTTGCTCAGAGTTAGAAAAACGTTCAACATAGATTAGAGCAACCAAACTTCATTACCTTACGTAGTTAACAGCAATCGACAGTTCTGGCGTTATGGACTACAATTTACTCTCTAAAAATTGTCTATAAGGAATTCTGGGATACTGAACATCTAATTTTTACATTGGTTCATTTTAAGTCAATAAATTATTGTAGAGTCTTGGTTGACTCCGTGACCATCGGGTGAGCGTGCCAATCTATCCATGGAGAAGATCACCGCGATACGAATTCGATCATACAAAACGATGAGTAAATTAGAACAATAAAAACTAATTTTAATATATCAGCAGCTCACTCGGGGAAAATGATTAGCTTAATACAAATAATTTCAAAACCCAATCCTTACTGAATCAAAAACAAAATTAGGTCCCCAACCAAATCATAATCCTGCGAATATTTTTATCTGATCCACGCAAATCAGATAGAATATGACTAATTTGTCACCTCGGCCACAGTGAATCCTTGGTCGGTTACTCCATTACTGCCAGAAAAATATGACTAATTTGTCACCTCGGCCACAGTGAATCCTTGGTCGGTTACTCCATTACTGAGAGAAAAATATGACTAATTTGTCACCTCGGCCACAGTGAATCCTTGGGTTCTTGCAGTGAAGGCATCGACCTGAGCCTGGGCAAGCGACGACTTCTTCAGAGCGTCGGTGATGAGCGCAGCACGCGTCTCCTCGTCAGGCAGGCCTATGTATTGGTAGGCCATGAAGCGGCCTCGTCGAATGATGGCCTGCAGGAGAAAATAAAGGTAATTCACGAGATGATGAGGAATTTGAATCAAATAAACTGCTGGAAAAATTCACCATGTTTCAATTTAGAAACGTAAATTTATGGTAAGTTTTGTCCTTCGCTTCAAGTTTATATTTAGATTGTGATTTTCCGTAATATAACGATTTTTTTATACTTGTTGATGAGGAGAAGCTTCAACGTCGGTAAGAATATTTTTCCACTTTTTTCACATTAAATTCTGCCAAGCTCTGCTCGACAAAAGTTGCTTGCTTATGAAACAAACAATTTAATCTGTTATAAACCCAGTGCGCCTCCAGTACCCACATCACTAAATAAAAATAGTATTAGAAAAAGCAAACGCATTCGTAGTTAAAGGGGTAATGGATCCCAAGACTTACAGGATCAATACATAAAAAAATATAACTCAGTACTACTGCAGTGAGTGACAGAGCGCGCATTTTCTCGTCGACGAAAACTTGAGGTCACGGACAGACGGACATGGCGAGCACAATAGTGCATTTTTTTCCATAAATGAGAAAATGCGCTAAAAAATAGGTCCATACTTGCAAAACTCGCTAAGTTAACGTAAGTGCTTACGCCCTATTTTCTTGTCTATGATTGGTGGATTTTGCTTGAAAGGCTGTCAATGATTGGCTGATGAACTTACGATCTCTTAACTTCTTTTGAAAGTATTGGCCCTGATTATTACCGAGTCCAGAAGTTCCGGCCTGGAAGTCTCGGCAAACACGATGACGTTAAATACGAGTAGTATTGGAAAAGGAAAACGCATTCGTAGTTGAAGGGTTAATGGATCCCATGACTTACAGGGTCAATGCATAAAAAACTGATTATTACCGAGTCCAGAAGTTCCGGCCTGGAAGTCTCGGCAATCACGAAGACGTTTTTAAGCTTGACTGTTCCGTCCAGGCGCGCCTTAAGCAAGTTCACGACGCGCCCCTCGACCTCGTGATGCTCACGCGCCCTCACGCTCGCGATGCCATCGAAGCTCGGCAGGTGCAGGATGCAGGGGGCAGATGCAGCGGCCTGGTGGCAGTGATATACTGTAGAGAAATGCTGATATACTGTAAAGTGATGACGGTGCAGTATATAGTGATATACTGTGAAGTGATGCTAGTGCAGTATATAAAGTGATATACTGTAAAGTGATGCTGATATACTGTAAAGTGATGCTGATATACTGTAAAGTGATGCTGGTGCAGTATATAAAGTACATTGGAGTGCTCTATTCTGCACTCCAGCAATGTATTCAGCATTTTATCTTAAATAAATGATAGGATAAACGTTGTGGCAACAAAATTTTTGTCCACAAGCAATCACAAAAGGTATACAACACTGCAAAGTGAAAACTGATTTGCAGATTGGAGACTCGATATGAAACCAATCAATCTAGATTCTAGATGCGTTTAATATCACTCACCTCATTAAAGATAGCATCCAGTTTATTTTCGCTCTCCCCGAAATATTTACTGAAAATATCAGCTCTGGTTGCAGTCTTCACAAGTAAAGAGAATTTCTCAGCCAAAGCTTCTATCAACAACGACTTTCCACACCCAGAAGGCCCAAAAATCAGAATCCGGCACGGAGGAGACATGCCTAACTTGTCATATAGAGACGAGTGCTTTAGAGTCAATCTCACACAATCTTCCAGTTTCTGCATTTCCTGGGAATAACCACAAACTTTCACCGAGGACGCCGACGATGTATTGGACTGAGTTGCAATCGAGGAACTTCCCAGTGCAAAGCTCATCTGCATTGATTTTCTAAGTCTATTTTGGGCCTTCTTCACTTCTTCTTGGCCAATTATTAAGGAAGCTTTATTTTCTGAATGTAAATCCAGCACCAGGTCGTTCAAATCTTGAATTGAGTAATTACTTGTTGACTGGACAAGTAGAGCAAGGGTGTCAGGTGAACACTTCAATCCAGCCCTGCAAGACAAGAATTAATTAAATAAAATTCTAAATTCATCACTAGGTACTAATTGATAAATAAATTCTGATCTGCTTGAGATATGAATCCAAGTTAGATGACTGCATGAACATTTCATTAAAAGAGAATGGTATAAAAAAAGAAGCTTAGAGAATGTGGCTGAACGGAAATGGAAAAGACTTGTAGATCATAGAATGCAATTAATTTATAAATTGAATAAACAAGCATTGCAATGATAGGAGTGGACAAATGAGAACATTTANTAAAAAATCTTGCTAATGACAGAACGTTAGATCTTGTATGGAAAGAAAGGAGAAGTTGAGGTCTTTAGAAGAAATGATAATTAAGTTCTCTCTCGTCTGAAGAGAAGTCAAGTTCATTCAAAAAACAGTGAAGTAAAAAGCCCTCAAAAGGAGAAAAAACATAAGGCTATTTATAGAGAATTGAGAACAGAAGACCTTTTATAGAAATAACTCAAGGCCTTTTATGGAATAAAGGCATCTACTTAGAACGAGTATAAATCAAGATACACATCGGAATGACATCTGGCACTTGATTGCTTGTAAATTGTAAGTAATAACAACATAGCTGCCTCTCAGGAGTCAACTACAAGTCCCGATGATCAAACATTTGTTCATTTAAGGCTGAATTAAAGCTTCAATGCAATATCTTATAAGATCCAACAATTCTCATTCACAATAAAGATATTCTGATAACCTGCCTGCCGATCATTGTCTTCAGGATGCCAAGCCTTTGGCTGAATTAAATCGCTTTAATTCAGCCTTCGTTCATTAAAGGCTGAATTAAAGCTACAATGCAATATAATTTAAGGTCCAACAATTCTAAATAACAAGCATTGCAATGATAGGAGTGGACAAATGAGAACATTTAAAAAATCTTGCTAATGACAGAACGTTAGATCTTGTATGGAAAGAAAGGAGAACTTGAGGCCTTTAGAAGAAATGTAAATTAAATTCTCTTTTGTCTGAAGAGAAGTCAAGTTCATTCCAAAAACAGTGAAGTAAAAAGCCCTCAAAAGGAGAAAAAAACATAAGGCTATTTATAGAGAATTGAGAACAGAAGACCTTTTATAGAAATAACTCAGGGCCTTTTATGGAAAGGATATCTTTTATGGAATAAAGGAATCAACAGAGTATAACTCAAGATATACTGAGGAATGACAACATAACACTATTGTTCATTCAAGGCTGAATTAAAGCTACAGTGCAATATCATATAAGGTCAAACAATTCTTATTCACAATAAATATATTCTGAGAACCTGCCTGCCGATCATTGCTTTCACGATGCCAAGCCTTTGGCTGAATTAGATCGCTTTACTTCAGCTTTTGTTCATTTAAGGCTGAATTAAAGCTTCAATGCAATATAATTCAAGGTCCAACAATTCTAAATATATTCTGAGAACCTGCCTGCCCATCATTGCCTCCAGGATGCCGAGCCTTGCAGAGTCTGCAGGTTTCCTGATGTGGACCGGAGCAAGACAGAGGCGTCTGAGGTCCTCGTGTATCTTGAGCTCCTCCTGCGCCGTGCACACCACAACCACGTCACCTCAAACATAATAAAGTAAAGGAAATTTCGGCACTCATTTTGGTAATAAAAGATACAAAATGTGGTATTTAACTTGGATGTAGAAATCTAGAAGCCTTAAATTTGGGAGTAAAAATTTGTGAACTTTATTATAGGACAAATAAAAGCTGAAGACTTTAGTAGCCTTCAGTTTGGAACTAATAAAACAGTTAAAGTTTTTAGTTTGTTATTGTTTTTATTAGTTTGGAACTAATAAAAACAGTAGAATTTGTGGCCTTCATTCTAGTATTTATCACAAGAGATTTTTTGCTACAATTTTTCAATTAATCAAAGATGTAGGAATTGGTGGAATTCATATAGACATTTATCACAAGTGTAGAGATGTTGGCAATAGAGCAAAGGTGAAAAATTTTACAGATAATGTCTTCATCAATCAAAGAGGTATGGTAGTAATTTTGGACATTTATTTCTCTGGATTAATTCAAGGCATGGGTATTTTTACCATTAATTTCTGAATTTAACCAAATAGAAAAAAATTCCCAAATGATTTTAAACTATACATTGCTAGAACCATGCATGACGATTAGGTATTCATTTACTTAATATATTAATGTATTTCTTTCTGGACCAATCAAATGCACTATTTTGAATAAATCAGAAATTGGAGGGAGAGAAATTATTGAATTAAGAAATTCAATTGTTTTGATTTGCCCACTCACCAGCCTTTGGCATATTGCAGGGTAACCTTGATTGCTCAACAAATTCTTGATAATTGGTTTGAAAATTATCAGCATGCATGGAATGGAGAAATTGCATCTCAAAGTCGAGACAATATTGCAATATATACTTCGCGAATGTTTTAGCTTTATCAAACACACAATCATAATTTGGATTATAAATGGAATAAAATTTATCAGATTATGTTCATCTATTATAGTATTATAGGTGCGTAAATATATAGGGATGAAATTTATGAAATAAGTTGAACAAAATTTGCATTCAACTGGCAGTAAATAATTATTTGATTCTTATTTAGGTTAATTTCCATAAAAAATATGTCTCATCATAGTTACTCAAACTTTCTCCATGCAAATAAACTTATCTTAAATTAATAAGTGAAGGTTACCTAGTACAACAATGGTCCAAAAATTCCTTCCAAATCAAGGTACTTTTTCCACTTAAAAGATATATTTGCTTTCTATATAAAATCTTAGTGAGGTAAGGCCATAGCCAACTCAGGTACAAACAATTCTTTGCATTTTTCACCCCTTAGAATTTAGTCATATATTCATAATCAAGAATGAGCAAATTAACTGCATGGCTGAAAAGTCTTCTATAAAAAATATTTTCTTTCAAAAAGTTCAACAATTTATAATAACATCTATCAAACAACTTAAACAACTGGATACCGTTAATTTGAAAACAGAATACTGTATATTAACCAAAATGTTAAACTTGTTTAAATACCAATAAGCATTGACTTGCCTAATCTCAATGAGCAGCCTTCAATCTATCAATTCAAGCAAAGTTCAGTTCAACTTCTTGAACATCTTCAATTATAATCACAGCATTAAGAGAATTAAGTAGATATCTGAATTTACACCATCTTCATACAGACTAAAATCTGTTCTTCCCACCCTGGTAGCCTTCTTTTAATTTTAAGTATAGGCTTGAGATTATTATGGACAAAATGCACGACTGCTGCATGCTTCAACTGCTCCTGACCACATCCGTCTTAAAATATTGATTGACGAAACAAACATTTGCTGAAGACACAAATCTCATGGCTATGACCACAAAGTTTAATGAAAGTCATACCATTTCCAGAAGAATAAATTTTCAGTTGTTTGAGACACCCATTAAATAAAGATAGAGAAAGAAAAAAAAAAAATCCTAGCATGAATAAAAATCTAATTCAAGAGGTAATGCAATCAAAAGTTTATTTTCAAAATTAATTCAAGTCTTTTAGCAAACAGCACAGGCACTTTGCACTAGCAAGCTTTAGGTCCTTACTAGGCATTGATGTCACATAAGGCACGAGATGTTGACTATTGGGGATTTGATCCAAATCATCAAGAAGGACAAGGCAAGGCTTCCTGAAATAAATGACCACAACATTAACAAAAAGATATACAAAAGTAAAATTAGAATTTAGATTCAACTTGACACACATTCAAATGAATCACAGGCTTAGTAGAACCAACTCTTGAAGAACACACACCATCTTGTTCAGCAAATTGCATCAAAATTAACAAAAGAATTGCATATTCATGTGGTCCCATCTACCAGAACCTACTGTATGTTGATTGTCCAAATCTCAAATGAGGAGTCATACATCAATGAAATTCTATCTAAATTAAAAAAAAATAATTAGAAAAATTTGTGATAGTTTAAATATATACATGTATTAATTTCATGACATTATGTATAAAAAAATCTTTAAAAAAAAACAATTGCCTAAAGCAAAAATACTTACTTGGAGTTAGCAAGGTCAAAAATCTTTGAAAAACTTCTTGTAGTTCTTCCATAGACCACTGAATTGTAGTGATGCTGCAAAAAATTCAGCAGCTGTGACTTGCCACAGCCTGCTGGTGCTAAGACAATGAAGAAATTCCTTTGGTGGAAAGCTGGCTTCTTGATATTTAAGATTTGCTTTTTCTTGTTCATATCATCTTCATGTCTTTCCCAAGGAGCTTCATTCTCAGTAAAACTTTCAGCAATATTGCAGCTTGATGTTTTCAAATCATGTTCCATTTGTACATGATGTGGCATCATAATGTTCTCCTTTAAAGTATTGGACAATAATGTGTTTTGGTTAGAAAACTGGCCAAAATAGGAATCTATCATTTCAGCAATAGTAAGATGTTTCTGCTGTGATTTCATCACACCTGATATGTGGCCAATAATGGGTGCAAGATCATCTTCAATGCCAATGATCAGCGGAGGGTCCTGCAAATCAGAGTAGGTATAATAAAATTTTCAGGCAAAGACTTGGGGTGTATGTGAAAGCACCAATGAATGTATTGAATTAATGAATGTAAACACAATGAATGTAATGAATGAATGTAAACACAACTAATATATAGCAATGTGAATTGATTAGAGAAAGAGTTACAGTATATTGTATAAAATTGACTGGATGTATGAATTATCCACCCATTCATTTACTGTATTTTTACTTTCACCTCATGTTGGCTCCATCTACAAACATGAAATTCTATGCAGCATATTGCAACCCAAAACAGTAAAATAAAGATACATAGATAATTATCATTAAAAAATCTCATTTGATTCTCTAAACTAATAGTAAATAATATTGTCAAATTAGAATGTAGCATTTTTTATGGACAATGAAATTATCCACATATTTGAAACATTTAATCAATGTTCAGTTGTTTTGTTTCCAAAAGATAAGCTTACCTTCGAGTTCAAGTGGCTGAATGCTTTGATGTCAGTGCTGCTACAAATTCTGAAGCCGCATACATGGTTAAATGAACCAGAACAATCTCTGGTATGAGCTTCCTTAACTTTGAATGAAATATTTCTAGTCATATAGTTCAGATTATATTTGAACCCAACAAAAATAGGGAAACATTGCAAACATAGGAAGTGTTTCAAATATATTGCAAGATTATTGCTATCAATCCTCGCCTCATTTGAATAAAAAATGGTTACATCAGTTGCCCAATGAATCTGAATGCAATCCCTAGATGCCATGATTAAAACCTGTACAAACAAAGTAGATTAGTAGCAAATTTATATATGCAATGAGCATAATCTCCAGGGATGCAAGCAGCACTGTAATGGCCATTTGGCTTTATCATCTGCAGCTGCCTTATTATCTGTAGCTGCCTAGCTGGCTAACACTTGATAAAACATCAATAATTATTATTCTTGCTCTGGGTCTATACTCTCAAAACTTACTACAGTACACATAGCAACCCAAGTACAGGTAGTGTCCAAGGGCACAAGGTCCAACTTCTTGTCTGTGATTGGAGGGTTTAGGTTGAAATGCTGACAGTGGTAGGCTGCTAGAGTTACAAACTCTGAACTGTTATTGAATTATTGAAAGACCATAGATCACTGTCAGAGCATTGCAACCTTGAAGAAATAAGTGAGTTGTTTTATCTGCAAAGTCAGTTTGAAACATAGAACCTTCTATGAAGGATCCTGCAAGTCCACAACACATATC